ATGTTTTAATTGATATACGATTATGTATGTTAATTTGATAAATGTTTAAAATGAAACATTTAAAAGTAAATGACGTAAAGTAAATTAATTAATTAATTATAGGGATATAAAGTGTAAATTTAAAATTATAATTTAAAAAAAAATCGGTTGTGAGAGGATGAGTGTATGTGAGGGGGTGAGTGTATGTGAGGAGATGATGGGGGTGAAAATGAAAAAGTGACCTAAAGATAGTATAAAGGGTATTTTGGTCCCTTAGTATTTTAAAACTTTAAGACTTTTGTTAAATTTGATTAATAAGATAGTATAGATAATAGACGTATGAGGGCTAGTGATGTAAGGGTGACTTGGCCCAATAACCTGGGTCGTGCCAAAAGTTGTTTTGTTTCTGATTTAGTATCACATGTGTATCATATGTGATTGATTATAATAAAAGGGTGTTCACGTGTTTTGCGTAAAATGAAAATGTTATCATTTGAACTCTTCCATATATATCTTAGTATATATGATAAGAGATAGTTTCATTTACAAACTCAACTAAAAATAAGAAACATACAAACTAATCTGTTGAGATATTTAAGGAAATAATGAGGGTTCATTTACTATGATTTGTATATTTGTGGAAGATTATCAGAGCTCATTTATTATGATCAACATTTTGTATTATTTAAACAACCGAGATATTAATTGAACCACATATTAATTATACTGGATAAATAGTTGAGAACGGCTTACAAATTTTGCATTAATATGACGGTTTGTAAACGATCCACGCTCTATATTATAATATATAAAATATTTTTTTTACTCTAATAGTCTAATATATACACGGTTTTTCTTCCACACATTTATCCCTCAATCAACCATCTCCGACCACCTTCAAGAACGACCAATTGCACCGCCCCACACCTTTCTCCATCCCCCATACCTCGTCAATATCTGTTAACGCAACGATGAACAACAGCAGATGAACGCTTGTAACTCAATCTTTTTTTTTGTAGCGACGAATGCTCAATGATGAACTTGCTTCGATGAACGCCTACATAACAATCCCCTCGATTTCTCTTTGCAGCGATGTACAACCCTGTTGTTGATTTTTCTTAGCAACATTTGCACGCATACCCTCTATCCGCAACTCAATCTCTCTTAACACGAAGATGTACGCCCCTCCCCTCGATTTCTCTGTACCTGTAAATCGAGGGGGTTATTTCGATTTTTTAGGGTTTAATTCAGTTTTTAAGATTTTTTAGGCTTTGAATCTGTACTTTGACTTTATATTTAAAGTTATTATTATATTTTGAGTTTGTCTTTGAGTTTGAATTTTGTTCATTCTTTTACTTTTCTCGAATGATTTGATTTTGTTTATATGACTAGTTGTGTACCCGCGTAATACGGTGGGATGTCAAATTTTTTAATAAGTTTACAACTAAAAATGAGTGCAACTATTCATTAAAAGTACAAAATTCACCTTGGGGGATGGGGATAA